TTTGTTTGCTATGGTAATGCTGTGTGGTTGTAAGAGTCTGTTGGTGGTTTCTGAGATGTTTTTGATGTATGGTAGTGTTATTCTTTTCATAGCTTGTGTTGCTTGTGCTGTAGTGTACTGAGTGGTGAGGCACTTTTTGATAAAGTTGCGTGGGTATCCATTTTGTTGTGAGATGTTGTATAGGTGTTAGATTTGCCGTCATTAATCAAGGACTACCTGTATTACTTACCTGTGAAGTCTACTCTGTGTGTGTGTATAAAAAAAAGACATGAAAGGCAAAAGAGAGAGACTGGGAAAGATGAAGATGGGAAATACATATTATAATAAAGTAGAATAATTACTTAAGGCCACAAATGTGATTTTCAAATTTTGAAACTAAAAATAAAAATAAAAAATTATGGTTGAATCACTACTTTTTGCATGTACTCAAGCACACATATGTCCAAATTGTCCTAAACTGATTTAGAATGACAAGGGTCCTCTACATATTTAATAGTATTAATTCCTACTTGTTAGGTCTAAAGTTCCACTGAGGACTGTTCATGGGGTTTTGCTGAAGAAATAATTTTTGCCACTTCACCTGTCCTAATAGCTCTATAAAATGCTGCTCTAAGTTGGAAGATCTTCTGGAACAATCTGTAAAGTAACATAGGCAACTTTAGATGGAATGAGAAATCAGCAAATATCTTCCCCCCTTCCTTCATCAGGAAACTCCACTGGATCTCACCCCTTTCCATGAATGCATGTCCTCTTATTCACAGAAGCAACATCCTTGATCCAATACCTTTAAGCTAGCTACAAGTACTAAACTTCAGATGCAACTATACAAAAGTGTGTAATTTTATACTGTTTTACATATCCCTGAATTTGCACTTACTAATTAAGTTCAAAATTGCTTTTCAGACTGTTAGATCCAAATCTTTAGCCCTTTTGGGGGTTAAGGAAGAGAGGGTGAAAAATAGTTTTGCAAAGAAAAAAAGCCTTTTTAAAACTCAACAAGCTGTCCCATTTCCAAGTATTAGCAGCAATGAAAACTACACATCTTTATATATAATAAAGAGTCATTTGCATGGGCTTAAAGCAGCAATTTAGCAATTTTGGATCTTACATAACATTTATAAGCATATCTTTTGGTATTGCCAGCACAACTATCATTCTATATAACTTAAGAATTCAACGTTTTATTGTTTTAAAAAAAACACACCTTGGTGTAGCTTTCTGTACAGTTTCCCGTTTATCATCTAAGGTGCAATTTGTTAACTTAACTGAGGCATTCAGTGACCCATCTGACAACATTTTGACAGCAGCAGATATTAACAATAATTTAAATTCTGCAAGTTTCAGACGATTATCTCGTTCATCCTTAACTTGAGGCTGTTTTGAAAAGAAAGCAAATAATTAAATTAACCTTAATACAATTTATACAAGGAATGCTTTTTTTTTTTGGTGCCTTCAAGTCAGTCTGGACAAGTTCTCGCAATTCCTTGGAAACATTTTCAGAAGTGATTTGCCACTTCATGCAGCTAAGAGAAGTGACTGGCCCAATGTCATCCAGCCCATTTCGTCCCTAAGGCAGGACTAAAACTCAGCCTCCTAATATCTAGCCTAGTGCCTTTAACTACATCACATAGGCTTTCACAAATTCTGTTACTGTGAACAAATTCCTAAGCCATTTAAAACACTGGATTCAAACAATCTTGAACAGAAAGGATTTATCACAGTTACACACTGTTACATAAATGATAGACACAGATTTTGCAAATCAGAATATCTGCACTACTGTAAATTGTTATTCATCTGCAAACAGCTGTACAATTCTAGAGAAGGCAGAAGTGGTGCTTCTGGATTAACTGAAACTTTTAAAGCAAGCTCCAATGGCTGAAACAAAACAATTTCTCCCCATGTGAATCAACTGTACAATAAACTCAATTAGCTAGCTTTGGGAGGGAAGAGAGTTCAAAAATAATACTTTTGGTACTTACTCATGGAATACATTTGGAAGATAGGAGTGTAATGGATTCAGGAACTAACATGCCCATCCTCATATTAGAGAGACCCTTGAGATCAGTTGCCCAATATTCCAAATCTGTGTGCTAAATCCTCTATCACTACAATCAACCATCATTATTGCTCAAGATTTCTTTTTGTATATTTATGTCTGGTGACTCTTGCAAACCACTGATTTTTTCAGCATTTTTATTTCCATTACCTTTCTTCAGGCAAACATTATCTATTCTATCCCATCCTTTCAGCATTCTTTTGTTTAAAGAACAAATGTACGTTTTAAATTTAGCCTTCCTTTATTTATCCCTCCTATAAATCATCTTATCTTCTTCTTTTATAAGAACTGTAAATCACTTAATTTTGTGTCTTATCTGTCTTATTATCTTTTGTAATTGTAGGCACTATTCCATTAATTCTACTTTGGCTCACCAAAAACAGCAAGGTTAGGTTAATATACTACGTACCAGAAACACCAAGGAAAACTTGGATACCTTTGAAGATTAGCCTGAAGATTATCTCTTGCATGGGAAGTTCTCCTTCCCCAGTAATTTTAACTCTACTGAAACACCTAGGCAGAGCTTCTTTCTTGGTCTTTCCTTCCCTGGGCTGGTACTTTTCCCCCTCATCTTGGCCTAATTTTTTGTTTGTTCGTTTGTTTGTCTGCTTGTTTCTTTTCTCTTTTCTATTACTTTCCCTTCCCAGGGCAGCTCTAATTTTTTTTTTTTTTTTTGTGCCTTTGAGTCACTGTTGACTCCTGGTGACTGCCCGGACTAGTCCCTGCAGTTTTCTTGGCAAGGTTTTCCAGAAGTGGTTTGCCATTGCCTCCTTCCTAGAACTGAGAGAAAGGGATTGGCCCAAGGTCACCCAGCTGGCTTCATGCCTAAAACTCAGAGTCTCCAGGTTTCTAACCTGGTGCATTAACCACTACACCAAACTGCCTCTTTGATTTCTTTTACCCCATCTTTTTCTTTCTTGCTATTTCTACTGGAGAGAGGGAGCGTGCACATCTATATTTAAAGAATGGTTAATGTACTTGAGGGAAATGTTTGTTATACAATAGTTTAAGAATGGAGGTGCTTCATTTTATAAGCAATTAATTTATTATTTATTATTATTATTATTATTATTATTATTATTAATTCAATTAATATATTTTCCTGATCCTGCCTCCTCCATCGCTGCTGTCAAGTATATGTATATACATATATTTATATATGCAAAAAACCAAAACCAAATCAGTGTGTCACTTTCACATGTTTTTAGGTGGGCAAGAGAATCTCAAGGGTTTTGTCTACAGATGGCAACCTAAGGTTAACAAGGTGGGGAAGCTGTGCCTTACACAAGATTTTAATAGGTGCTTATTTATTTCGGTGTACTGTCTATTCTTCCTTTGTGGTGGAGTGTTGTCTTAAATTCAGGTTGTCTTTCTTTCAATTTACCTTTCTAAATAATGGAAGAGACTGCCTAGAGTAGATCTGGACATACATACACACTGTTAGTTGTGCTGCATGGGTAGAATTGATGTGAATTAGATAACAAACACAGCAAAAATGTGTATTATATCCAAATAATTCCATGGGAATATAAGTCTTTTGAAGAAACAGAACAGTTTCTCTCATGTAAGTACACACACTCATTTTTTTACTGTTAAAAGAAAGGTACTCATACAGAAGAACAACAGAAAAATAAAACCTAATTCTCCATTGTCCAGCAACTATCACTGTAATGCTTTTTTCAGTTCCTTACTAGATTTGAATGAATAATGCTTGCTCTACTGTCTACTTACTATCCAAAGAAAGATTAAGCAATGATAGTAAGATAGCTGAAAAATTACAGTGATTTAACTTCAAAGAATATATTTTCCTTACCTGCTTGGAACGTGGGCTGTACAAAACTAGAGTCAGGGAATCAAACTGGAAGTCTAGTTTTAGTGTTGTTTTTACTTTAACAGAGGAATGCATTTCCACCACAGCTGATGTCACCACTGTTATTCCAGCTTTAAACATTAGAGACACATATATTAAGCATATATACAAAAGATATTATTAAGTATCAAGAAAGTGAACAGTTTTTAATCCAGAGCATTTTAAAAGAGAACTACTTTTCACGGAATAAATTTTATTAAGTACTACCGCAATTAAAAACTTTCACCAGAAAAATAGCTTGCAACATCCAAAGTTGTAAAATTGTGATGCGTAAGAACATTCAGATATTCAGGCAAGTATTTTTTATATATGCTGAAAAATATTTGAATTAATCTACTAAAGTACAGTTGTGAGATTATTTCTATATTATGCAGAACTATTACATGATTAAAAGCAAAAGGAATAAATTGGAATGGTCTTCTTTTTGTCTTACATATGAAAAATAATGTGAATTTGTTTAGATAATAAAAAAATGTTTAGATATAAACTCCTATGATTTAACATACCTAGTTGATAGTGTAAACCAAAATATTAAAAGGATATTGCCATCTATATCTATAAAGAAACTGATTATATAGCAAGACTGTACCAAACAAAACTAGTGATTATATACAGCTTATAATTTATTTCAGACATTTATTTAAAGCTGCAATCTTATATTCACTTCAGGAATTACATAAAGTGGGGATAGTCTGACTGCATTCAAGGAAAGTGGGAAGAAATGTGGTAACCCCATTATCCTTTTACCACTCACCACATGTAAAGGATGACCATCTGTATAGCTGAACTTCTACTATCCATGCAGGTTCCCCAGACGATTGAGGCTGATTGAAAAATCAAGGTCTGTAATCACCTGGAAACCCTCTACGGATAGAAAAGGATCTCTACAACAGATAGTTTCTCTTTATATGTACAAAGCATAACACAGTTTGGTGGTAACTTTCTGATTTTTGCTCACTGTGAATATGAGCAGACTATTGCCATTTTGAATAAACCCTGAAGAGGTTTTTAATCAGGACTCATTAACTCTATTTTTGAGTAGATATTCATGCTCTAGTTATATTACTCTCATACAACCACTATAACCAATATGAAATATTATCAAAATGAATTGGTTAAAGAGAAAAAACAATTAGATTTTTCTTCCTAGTAAAATGATATAATTAGTTTAACTGAAAAGAAAATACCTCCAGAATACTGGGAGACACTTGCAGCTCCACTATGAATGCTTAATACATCTTTTTTTCCTGGTACAGATGGAGGTTCAGAACTATCTCCTAAATTTTCATTCAAGGTCCTCAAAATCGTAGTTATATCTGCCTGACTGAGAATCAGCTTTGGGAAAAAAAGTGGGTAATAACAAAGCATTATTTTAGTTTGAGAATGTCTGAAATTATTACTTATTACTTTCCCCCCGAAAAATCGTAATTTCTGCTTTTAAAATATAATCTTTACACTTTCAGCGGTCAATCATTAATTTATAGAGAGACTTCAAATATGACTTTGCAACAAAAGTGGCCCTATGAATATTTCTGTTCAGAAAAAAAAAATCTGATTTCTCCTTCCTTTTGCCAAATTCCTTCATTTCTCTCAAACACAAGTGCCTTTGCTAATATAAGCAACTATTTTGTTAACAATGCAATTACCACTGTCTGTACTTTCTGCATGTCATTTTCCTCTGTTCTCACTGTTTACTCCACAATCCGGTATGTGGGTGTCTTTATAGTATGTATGTAATATGTGTGCATGTGCGTGTATGTACTATCACAGCTCAGGGGAATACTAAATGCACCTCATGACACAAATTGGACTTCAATCTAGAATATTTTATGCCACAGGTTGTGTATGTGCTTTTATTTACTGGCTTATTTATTTACAAATTGTATATGCCAATCACTTTCAAATGGCTCAGGACAGCTTATAGATACCCACAATGATATAAGCATATAAACTCATAAAAATGAGTATGTTTTTATTGTTTTTTATTTTTTGTTTTGTTCTTATCTTTTGCATGATGTTTGGTTTTATATAATTGTTGTAAGCCACCCAGAGTTGTGGCTCTAAGATGGGTGGCCATACGAGTCTTTTAACTAAATAAATAAAGACTTAAATAAATAAAGGGCTTAGCAAAAATATTTTAAGACACTGACTAAACCCTAACAAAAATGGGCCTGCCCAAACTCAACCTGGATATGGCACAAGACATTATTTCCTTGTCTTCTTCTTGTGTAAGAACATAGTATATGAAGTAACATAGATAAAACATTTGTATTCTACTTGACACACAGGTAGTCCTTACTTAACAACTGTTCATTTAACAATGGTTCGAAGTTATGACAGCCTCGGAAAGGGTGCTTTACGGCCCGTAAAGCACTTCCAGCCATCATAAAACATCGTACCACACCCCCCCCCGGTCATGTGGCTGCATTTCAGGCGCTTGGCAACCAGCTTGCATTTATGACCAATTGCCAAGTGCCCCGTGATCATGTGATCGCCATTTGCAATCTTCTCTGCCAGTTTCCCCAGAAAGTCAATGGGGAAGCCGGCAGGGAAAGTTGCAAGTGGAGGGGATGGAAGAAAATCTCTTGGTGTGTGCAGGAACAGAGCTCAAATTCTGAAGATGTGAGCTCTGTTCCTCCAGCTCCACGAAGGATTTGCCCTCCATGCACAGAGGGGAGGGGAAACCCTTCAGTGGGCTGCAAGAACACTTGAGAGCGAAAGGGCTGCCTGCCAGGAGGATTTCAACTCTGCATGGAACTGAAATCCTTCAGCAGCAGCTCTTTCTCTCCATCCATTTAACGAGCCAGGAGATCGCTTAATGACAATTGCATTGAGCGAAGCAGTTGTGTGGGCATCTCACTTAATGACTACTTCGCTCAATGATCGAGATTCTGGTCCCAATTGTGGTCATTAAGTAAGGACTACCTGTAATCATGTTAACAACTACTGCTATGTTTTTAAATATATACTTCTGGAATATCTGTGTTCAAATACTGTGTGGAATAAATTTCTGAACTTCTAAAACATCTAAATAAAGAACTTACATTAATTGGCTTAAGATGCCCAAATATCTTAATGTCAGGAATTTCATGATACCAGAGAGCAGCTAAATTGCGTTCAACTTTAACTTCAAGATTTAATGGCTGTAGTAGTTGTAATTCATTTTGTAATAATCCACTCATAATATCTGATCTGAAAATAAAAATAGGAAATACATAACATGATGCATTACATGGAATTAGGAGCAGGATTGCAGTTTAAATTAAATACAAATGTAGAATGGAACAAATTCTGAAAGGGCAATCCTACTAGAACCTGAGATATTATTATTAAATGTTACCAAACCATACATTCCTTCAGAATATACAGAATTGGCTTTCTACATGTTAATAGCTGCAAGGATTTTATATGCCTTCCATCTGAAAAGACTTTGACTCCCTCCTTGGAAGAACAGCTAAATAAATTCTGGGAGTATGCCTTGACATCTAGAATAACTTGGTATTTAAAAAGCAAATCTGACATAGAATTTAATCTTAATCTTCACTGGAAACCATTCTTGGACTATAGTCTTATACCAGTAGTGTGCCAAATCCAAAATGTGATTTTTAGAGTTCATATTTCAACTAGTGGTATAATTTATAGCATTAATGCATTATTTACTACTTACAGTTATCTTTTAATGACTTATAGTTATCTTTTAATGAACAGTGTTAACTAAATATTTTTTAGCCTAAAGCTCACAAGAGATACATGGATTTTGACTAGAAAATAGATACAAAATATTTCATAATACAACAAGTTTTTAGTGATGCATTGGAATTTATTAGCTTTAAATTTGTTTCTTATCTGCTCATATTTTAGTATCTGTATCTGATTAGTTTTCCTTCTTTGTACTACTTATTTCTTATATTCTTTCAATATATAATAAAGATGGGGGAGGGTTATAAAAAGAACAAAAAATAAGTAGAAAAGGTACTGCTGGGGATAGATGAAGCTGATGGAAAGGCTACCAGGGTCCCCATCTGGTTTTAAGGTTCTTCTGGTTTTGCATCCTTTCCTATAACTGAAGTATCTTGGATGTTTTTGCCATAAAGGAGAGGAAAATTTCACTGGGAAAAATATGGACTAGAACAAAAGAGTTTCTTTTTCCTCTTCCAAAAACTCCCCCAATTCTTTGCCCTTCAAATCCACTGAAAATTGCATAACACTTGTATTTATTTTTCTTTCCCTCTTGTACCTTGGAGCTAGGTAGAGATATGGCAGAGAAGGATAAGAAATGTGAATGCCTTAGAGAATGTTTAGTAAAGGTTGGTTACTTTCGTCTTGGAATTGGACATATAACTAATGAATTAGTTTAGTCCTCCAGCATCATATTTTGGGCCAACTTAATTTAGATTGCAAAAATGACTTGGAATCAATTGCTGTATACTAAAGGCTCATTATGTTCTTCTTGTTTTATCTTTGGTATTTGGAATTCATCAAGAAATGTGGATTTTTCAGACATTAGGATTCCTAAAACGAACAGCACTTTACACTGGCAGCAGAAATCTACACTGATTTACAATAGTGGATTGTTGATCTATTATTTGTCAATTTGAATTGGGGAGGGGAGATTGTCCACAAAGAATCCAAGGAAGAAGACTTCCAAGCAAAATTCTCAAAGGTTTTTGGAGGTTTTTTAATTAATTTGAAATTATAAAATAATTTTAAAAAGAAAAAGAGAAAAAAAGAATTGCTAGAAAAGTCTGAATTTGAGGAGGAACAAAATTAGTTTGTAAAAAAATAGCTTTTGGGGGGCTTATACTATATATAAAATTGAGGTTATAAACTGTAGCACATAACATTCTTCCAATAAAGTTGCTTAGTTTGAAATTACATTTAGAAAAATTAATTTTGAAATCATCTTAAATTACCTGTACAATTTTAGTTCACTCAGCTTCACACAAATACTGTCAAGAACAGGTGGGACACTGTAACGAAGCTTAGTTTTCACAAGCACAAACTCATTTTTTATGGTGATCATACCAAAATCAGCAACTAAAACATCAGTAGATACTGCTGACTGTGGGATTATGACAACGGGTGCTTTAATGTTAATATCCAGCGCCATTCGGGAACTCTGCTTAGCCAATTCTTTCACACCTGTAGCTGCTTTTTCAGCAGCTTGAACAGTAGCTTCAGTAATTGCTTCCTTTGCCATCTGAAAATTGTTTACAAAAGCCTAGAATTTAAATAAAAATAGTTCAGCAATAAATGAGGATAATAGGCATATTTAATATGCCAATATTAATCCATATACATTCCAAATTATCAATACACTCACCATTTCCATCTCATACATATGTACTTTAGGAACAAGCATTTTATTATGTTAGAGGAAAACATGGTTTTAAAGGAAGAGGGAATGTAAAGTCCAATCAGATTGATTTTTTTTTTAAAAAAATCCCATTTTGGACAATATTTTGCAAGTACCAGTTAATGGTTTCCATAGAAAGTACCTTAAGTAGGAGCCACAAGTCCAGGAGAAGCCCCAAACTGCAAACAGTTTTATCTGAGGGAATGCTATCCAGCTACAGTCAAAGATGACACCTCACTAGATCCAGGAGGACCAAAAGTCCCAAGCCATTCTGCTTGCTGTGGTTGAGTCAGAGCTGGTTCTGCCCCATCCACATCCTCATAGCTTCCAGGCACTGGGCCAATACCTGAACAGCATCATCTGGCTGGCCAGAAGTGGAGATATATAGTTGATGATACTGCACCCTATGCAGTTGGATGACCTTCTCTAGCAGTCTCATGTAGATTTTAAAGAGGAGGGGAGAGAGACCAGAGCCCTGAGGCACTCCAGACTGCAGAGGAATCCTAACTGGAACCAGTCACAGAAGGAGGAAGAGAACCGCTGCAAGACAGTACCCCGCATTCCCAACTCCCAGCCAATCCAGAGGATACCATGGTCAGTGGTATGAAACGCCACTGTGAGACCCAGGAGGGCAGAGGACATCCATAAGTACAACCAGTACTGCCTCAGTGCTGTAACCTGGCCTTAACCCTGATTGAAAAGGGCCCAGATAATCTGCTCTATCAAGGGCCCTCTGAAGCTGAGCGCCTAACATTCTTTCAACAATCTTTCTCTCAAAAGGGACAGTTGGAGACTGGATGAAAGTTGTCCAACAATCAGGTCTAACAATGGCCTTTTGAGAAGGGATACACCACTGCCTCTTTCAAGGCAGGTGACACTATTCCCTTCTGCAATGAGACATTAATCACTACTTGGGCCCAACTACATGCCACCTCCCAGGAGGCCTTAACATACATTATTTCTTGGGCAGTAACTTCATTTAGAGGACAATTACACTTTTACCGTAAACCAATTATTCTCCATTATTTTGAGGATTCCATTTCAAAGTTGCACATATCAAACAGGGAAACATTCTCTCTCCCTCCACTGATCTTAACCTTTGATGTGCACCAGAAGTTCTAAGAGTAGAACTTAATGATATGATACTAATCAATACAGATCTTAACTATCTTGTTTAGATACAATGTAACAAATATATTTTAAAATGTGATTCTGTGTATTTAATTTCAAGAAACTGAAAATTATAAATAATGATTATCTGAAAAGCCATATTAAAAAAATACAGTTCAGTTGAACAATAAATAGGGACTGCTAAAACAAGTCCAGTAGTTTTTCCTAGTGCAGAGCAAGCAAAAATGATTTAAAGTCACCCAAGCTGTGCATGCTAGTTCAAAGATATCAACAGAAAAAAATGAAGTTTTAACTTACCAAAATTGCAGAAACAAATTTGTTGACAAAAACAATTTGAATACATCCAACAGTTAAGTGAATCTCGCTGTCAACAGCATTCATATTTGTAACAGAAGCAACACCAGTGGCATACGTATATGTAATCATTTTTAAACTGAAGACTTCTTTTCCAGTAATATAGAGAGCCTTGAAATAAAAACAATGGGCAGTGTAAAGATTTTAATTTTAAAGAATTATGTGTTTATCAATAAAGGCCATGAGGATAATTCAACAGTTCCCCTTCTATTCATGTAATCTTTCCAGTTCATGAAATGGGCTTTGATCCAGTGAATTAATGGAAGTTTTAGGAGGAAAACTTGTCACCTTCAAACTATCCTATAGAGCAGATATTAAAAGCAGGAAGAGGGAAGATCTCTGGTATAAGCTAATTCCATATATTTTTTCTCTACAATATAGAGCCCAATTCAATATGTGCATTGTAGTCATAACTAGATATAGCATGCAAACATTTGTCCATAATCTTTGCTATAAAGTATAGTACAGGAAAAATCACACTGAGGAGGAGAGAAACTAAATAATTTAAGGCATCTACTATTAAATCAGATGCAGATCAATATTTACAACTGTAAATGCATTGTTTTCTACACAGAGCCTAACACACAACTAGTATTGGAATTAGCAAATATTAGCACATTAAAAGAACATCTGTACCTTTTTATAAAGGGCTGTCACATCACAATCCACAATAATTATATTCTTTAATTTAGCAGATATTTCAGTTGTTTCTTTCTTCATAATCACTTGGCTATCAAGACCTAAATATAATAAAATTAATAATTATGAATGTCAATGAAGCTTCGTTTTCAAAATCTTTTCTCTAGAATCTTGTTATATTTTTACCTTCTATACTAATTTCTGATATCCAGCGTTTCTGTTCTCTTATAAAAATACGTAAACAATTCATGTCTACGCAAAGATGGAGATCACAAACATCATCATGTTTTGATTTTTTTGAACCTATGGGAAGTTAAAAATTAACAAATAAATATAATTCCAATGGAAAGTTGAATTTACTGAGGTAAATATCTTGCATTAATACCCAATTCACAAGAGGAAATCAATGAGAAAAGATGCCAGGGGAAGGAGGGCTGTTGACTCTTCTCATCCAATTACACTTAAAAAACTATAAAACTAGGAACTACAAAGGAATACAGCTTATGTGTAGGGGGGCATTCAGTCCATCTGTTCTCATTATATACTAGGATTTTATTTTGGATGAATACTGTAGCTTTGACAAAACAAACCTTTCAACAGAAAGATTTTTTAACTGCTTGAAAGGGACAACTTTTTCCTAAATAATAAATTTTTTAGTATCAGTCATGGAAAATTTTTAAAGGTATAATTCTCTCCTTTTCTCATTCTATGAACAAAATCCAAAATTGTTTTCAGATGGACATTTGGGACATAAGAATGCCTATAATTTTCAATAATGAAGTCAGCATTTTTACATTTATCTTCAGTACTTTAGAAACAAGTACTATTAATCCTGAAATAATTTCCTTCATGTACCTTTAAAGAACCCAGAACGTAAAATAAGGCTGAAACACAAGAAGCAATACAATGTTTGATATTGGAAAGCCTTACTAAATTTCCTAAGAACTTCTTTTTTTTCTTCTTTTTCTTGGACAATCTCTACTGTATTTGCCTCTTGAGTTGGAAGGAGATTATTTAGAAAATTCATTGTATTCAGGAGTGCTTCTGTATGTAAATGAATATCTATAGAAGAAAAAGTCACCTACAGAACAAATACATCTTATTAAGAATATGTTTTAAAAGCACTTTCTGGGATGTTGTAATTGTATAAATAGAAACCATCACTATTACCTTTATCAGCTGTAGAACATTCTGATAAGTATTCTTCAGTTCTGGGGCATTAATATCTGCCTATACTCAAAAACATGACATTTAAAACTTGAAAATATTGCATAACAAGAAAGAAAGAAAGAAAGTACATCTATATTCTCAGTATGTGCTTTGATAATTACCCCACTTCTGGAATAGATCAAAGGGCCAGCAGTCTGCCTCCACCTACTGTCCGCTGCTGTTTATCTATTACCCAATGATAACCTGTCCTTCATAAACATGTTTAATACTGAGAAATTTGATTTCCTTCTACTCTTTGGCCAACTCAACATTTATTTATTTAATTTATGGGTCACCTGATTTCTAAATGATTAAATAATTTAAAATTTTAAATATTTGTCTATAGAAAGATTAAGGGGAAAAAAAAATCTTTTCCCTTACCTTCATGTACTCAATTGCTAGAAGATCATCTACTGAATTATCCAGGGTTGAAATAATATAAACAGGCTTGTCTTTATTGTCTAATTAAAGAAACAAACAATATTAAAAATCATGTTGCTGAACAAGTGAATTGGGATCAAATATGTTCAAAAGCTACACACAAAGCACAATAACTTATAGATTTGCTTTAAAAGCAAAATTAATTACATCGGACAAAGAAATTCATGGATAAGAACTGTAAAGCATTATTTATATTGCACCAATATTAGAGTTTCATGAAAGCAACCTAAAGAGAGTAATGTCAAATGGGAGCTTATTAAACAATTATTACTGTTATTACTGCTATTATATTTCAATAATAATACTAAAATAGTTTCTTTTTTATGCTTGATTTTTTGACCAAAAAATTAAATAAACTATTGTTAAAATAACAGTGAAAAGATACTGTTTATATATGTAAACAAACAAATGCTAGAAATTATTTAATCCTTTACAGGAAATCCTCGTTCAGCGACCATTCGAAGTTACGATGGTTATGAAGTTACGCAGTTATGATCACAATTCAGGTGCTTGGCAACCAGCTCGCAATTACCATAGTCACAGCGTCCTGCAGTCATGATTTCCATTTGCGACCTTCACTGCTGACTTCCAAAAAGCAAAGTCAATGGGGAAGCTGGCAGGAGATTGCAAATGGTAATCATGTGACCATGGGACACTGTGAGTACACAGGATTTGCCTAATGACAGCAACTGGAACTGCTGTAACCGCCACTGTGGTCACATGACATCGTGCTTTATGAACACTTAGTGACAGAGTTGCTGGTCTCAGTTACTATCGTTAAGCGAGGACTACTTGTAATGAAATAAAAAAACAGAATAGAATACAGTCATAAAACAATTTAAAATATGACAAAACCTAAAGATGACAAATACTAAACAATTATTTTATATATACTTTCTGTTTTAATACATATTTTTAAAATCTCTTCTAGCTTTTCATAATGTTTTTTTAGATACTGACATATCTTCTATGCTTTTTAATTGACAGTACCCCACCCTCTTTATGCTGGTCTATGACTGTAATAAATTTAAAAAAAAAAGACATACAGGAAAGTTAGTTCCAGTCATGCTTCCATGGGAAGGGAATTCCACAAATACAGCATAATAAGAGAAGATTTTCTTCTTTGTTAATATATATTTTTTAAAAACTTATACACACACACACACTAAAAAATTTAAAGTGAAAACCTGCACTTTGAATTGGAACAAAAGCAAATACACAGCAAATGAAGTTCCCTCAGAATCAGCATAGCATGATGCAATCTGCTCATACGTGCTAGCTTTGTAGCAGCTGTACTCTGTATTAGCTGGGCAAGGAAAGAGTATCCATTTTTTTTTACTTCCTGCCTCATCTCTATTATTTCAAGGTTGAGATGGTTCCCTTCCCATTCCTGAAACGGGAAAAGCAGTGAGAGGGAGCCAATGCCCATGCAGAGCTTTTGCAATTGCCAATAAATATAGCATGGGCATTAGTTGACGTTTCCATAAGATATAGATATAGAAGTGAGATCTCATGAATATAGACAACGTTAAGAAGTATTTTACAAATTTGTCATATTGTTCACTAGGAGAAGATTTTAAAAGCCAGTTCCATTCCCCCCCCCTTAAAAAAAGCTCTGGATAGCTATTCGAGAATGTATTGAGGCAGACAGAAATGGCTTGCTGTAACCACTCCCACAATGAGAAGAAAAAGTAGTAATAAAACACCAAGTACACTTTGAGGCATTTAGAAGGTACCTGCTTCACAATCTGATATGACAGAATACTAATTTCCACTAGGGTTGATCAAACCATTTGGAGAAATTCTTCACTGTTAACAAAGCTGTAAGTCAGCGGTTCTCAAACTTTCTTGGTTCATGGTGCCCTTAAGAGTCTCAGTAATTTTTTCACAGAACCCTTAGGCCAAAAAAATGCCTAACAGTTCTGTTTATTAAGTAGTTAGGTCCAAACAACTTATTAAATATTTATGTCCTAACAACTTAGTAGCCATTTGAAAAAAGAATATACATACATTGAATGAACCACACTTACTTACTAATGGGATGTGTGCACCTACTGGAATCAGATAGGACATCACCCCCTTAATTTCTTGTTCCGTGTTGATTTTCACACAGTACTTGCTTTTTTACCACAGCAAGCACTGAAAATCCAGATTTGCAAAGATATGACTGTGCAAATGGATGTTGCAAAAAATTTAAGATATCCCATGGTACCTCTGTGAGCTTGCTATCAGTTCGGTGCACAGTTTGGGAACTGCAGCTATCAGTAATAGATCACACAAACACATGTTGCATTCTCACGATGGTTCGGCATGACCGCTGCTATGGTCTTTCAAATCTGTACATCAATGTACATGTCCAGAAAATAGGTCTATCAAGACTGCTGCTGAAAGTTAAGTGTCCAGCAAAAGTCTTCTATGCATACATGAGGATACAGAGATGACACTGGATAGCCCCCAATGCAGCTGTGCTGAACCTTTAAAAGAATTAATATCTCATGGTATCCAAACCACCAAATGGTTTGCACAGCCTTAGTCTCTACTATTCATTTTGCAGTTTTTTTGCAAACACAGACTCTTTCTCAAACTCAAGTTGCAAAGAAATAGATGCTGGGAGCTATATGATGGACACAGTATGCAAAGATTATTTGCACATTCAGGTAATGGAGAGTTCTCTCTAAGGAATTCATAGACAGTGAGAAAAAAATAAGAATGGATTGGGTTAAATGGAACTCAATAAATCTTTTTAGTAACAACAAAACATTTGGATTCAGCATGGTATTACTTTGTGGAAGATGAAAGGCCCACCCGGCCTGATCTAGCAAAGTGACAGTTATCAATACTGTAGGTAACTTAATACTAACATAAGCAAATGCATGCCCACTGTTGCTATATTTTCAAACATGCTCTATGTCATAAGGCCCACAAAGAGACGCCATGGAGGTTCTGTGGAGTGTAGGAACTGGTTAAATCTTAAAGAAATGTTTTGTGGCAAGGTGCAGGTGTAAGAAAATGTATGTACAGGCATATGCTCAATGGATATGGCAGTTAAGATAAATCTAGGATGATAATTAAGTGATCTTGCCCCTGTTCCAAGAGAGGAGATCCACCCTTTCAAAGAGAAGGATAAAAGTCCTCTGAGGTAGGAGCAGCATCACATAAAATTACCATTGCCTTAGCCACTACAGAATGAACAGAGGGGTTGTACGTGAAAAAGCTGGAAGAGAACTTTGAAGATGAGTGAAACTGGAGGGAAAACCTATAGGAGCAGTTCTATGCAGGACTAGGTGAAAACATCTACCTATCCCAACTCTAGAGTAGAACCTGAAAAGTGGTAGGATAGACAAACTGAAGTCTGATGTAGTCCTGTCCTGGTTCTCAAGCACTGGTACAAGATACATAGTCAGACAATCTTAAAAGGAAAGCCAGCACTTAACATTTGCAGAGAAGTAAAGAGGTAAGAGCGTGATCAAAGTCCAGGTAGGGATCAAGGCAAGAGTTTCAATATATACAGAAAGTTTCAGAGGGTCAAAGCAAGAGTCAGTTGCAAGAAAGAGCAATCTAGGTTAGGCTATTATTACAAGTATAATTCCAACAATCTAGGCACTTCTGCATCCTTCTACTTGTTTGATTCAGTAGACGTGGTATTCTCATAAACCTGAATGCTTTTACTTGGTTTCAGTCTCTAAATCCATTGACTCCTTTTGTGTAGAAGAAACCCTCACTTGCATTAATAAAAGCATTAAAAAACTGGAGAGGATGAACTAGTTGAAGTAATATTTTTTCCAACTGACCTGAAGACCAAGATCTTCCAAGGAGATTGAATGTGAGCCTTATACAGGTGAAACTCGAAAAATTAGAATATCGTGCAAATGTTCATTTATGTCAGTACGG